GCCCCGGAAGTGGTTGCGGGAGGGCGCGGGGCACGCCGGGACGCTCGCGGATCCGCGCCGCTGCAGCTGCCGGACGCCGTGGGCTTCGCGTGTCCTGTACCCGGACCTTCCGGTCAGCTCGCCCATCTCGCCGCGTGACGCCCGCGACAGCCAATGAGCACAGGGAGGTCGCCCTGCCCCGCCCCTCCTCTGGCCAGGGGAACTAATCGTGTTGCGAGAGAGGCAGAACGCGCCAAGTCCCGAAAGAAGAGCAGGGGGGAAGCGGTTGGCGGTCCAGTAATGTGAGGCGACCGGAGGCGGACGCGAGGTGAGTGGCCTCGGGCCTGTCGCAATTGCAGAGATGAATGTCAGGGGCTGGACGGGACGGGGGACGGGGAAAGAGGGCTGGGGATGGGTGGGAGGCGGGGTAATAGGCTTTAAAAGCTCGGTGGAGGCAGTTGGCGTCTCGTTGCCAGAACAACCTGCCGCCTCGTGGCGGGCGGGGCTGACGGCGGGGCTAGCGGTCTGCAGCCAAGAAACGGACACGGAGCCGGAGTCAGGGTTCAGAGGAGGCTCCGAGCTTCACCCTCTGCAGGGTGAGCCGAGCTGCTCAACTTGGTGCTCAGGACCCTTCACGACCTGGTACCTTTTCACCGCAGATCCCAGCAACTAACACCCTTTCCCCCACAAACATGTTGGGCATTTTTCACTCCTCTGAGCCATTGTACATGCTTTTCCCTCTGCCGGTAGTGCCTTCTCCTCCCCTAGTGCCTTGTCTGTCTACACCTTGGTGATTCTGTTGCCCCGTGAAATGCTGTGCCCTGCATTGTCAAGCAGAGTCCTGGTTCCCCCAAACACCCCCAGGTATGTGTACCAGAAGGGTCCCACCCTGCTGCTCCCAGTTCAGGATGCACCAGGCACCTACACTCCATCCCAGGAGCACAAAAGACGCAAGAAGCCCCCGACTCAGGTCTCTTGCCACTGCCCTGACTGGGGAGGGAGGGGGCACTGACTGCAGAACCATAGCCAGCCAGGGCTGGGTCAGGGGCGGAGAAAGCAACACTGTTCCCGTTTTATAGGCACATCGGCCTCTCCAGCCACAAGGGTTCTCCAGACATTGGCTCTAAAGTACCATCTCCCCCCATCCCTAAAGGCTTCTTGTTCTCCAGGGATCAGGATCTTCTCCTTTTTAGACTGGAGTACAAAAGGGGGGCTGGTCCAGTGTCTGGGTATAGGGACTAATTTGAGTGGCATAGCCCCAAATCAATCTCTTTTGGAGACTCCAAAATGTCTCAAGTCTATTCAGTTGTAAGGGGCAGTAAAGGGTAGCAGGGCTTGAAATTCCCCTAACTGATTCAAATTCTATTTTTGCCATTTACTAACTGCTCTGAGTCTATAAAATGGAGATAATAGTAGTATCTTATGTTATGTGGGATACACACACATACACAGTCATGTGCCACATAATGATGTTTTGGTCAATGAGGGACCACATATATGACAGTGGTCTGAACAATAGCTATACCATATAGCCTAGGTGTGTAGTAGGCTGTGAGAAATGCCCTCACCCGTCCAAGGCCAAAGGATGGACACACAGAGACACAAGGTACAGGGAAGCAAGACTTTAATTACAGCCTTGCAAGGTTCAGGTGTCTGACGGACAGGCGTATGGAAAAGGGCTAGTAAGCAATTTATTCCCTAGTGCTCAAGTCCCTGCCTCCTCATTGGCTGAGAGTACTACGGGGTGCACAGTCTTTCAGGATGACGTCTAAGATTATCCCAATCTACTTCCTCCTTGTAAAAAAATTTCTTTGTCTGAGGGCTCAGGACAAGCACAAGAAGAAGGCCTGCTGAAAAGGAGAAACACTAGGGAATGAAGAGAACAATAAAGGGCTAGTAATGCATTACCATCTCAAGGAGAACTTTATCTATTCAGCAACCCCCCAGGAATGGGCTGGATCAGTCAGACAACTTTCAGGCTGGGTCTGAATTATTTCTGAAAATGGATCACTTAGATTATTTTCTTACATAGGCTATGCAATCTAAATTTGTGTAAGTACATGCTATGATGTTTGCACAACAATGAAATTGCCTAATGATGCATTTCTCAGAATATATCCCCATCATTAAGCAATGCATGAATGTACATATAAAATGTACATATATATATATATCATGTATATGTCATTCTATATATCTTATGCATATATCTACATATCACGTATGTGTATCATTATTTATCAATACATCATCTATATATTAACATGTACATATATATAAGATATACTTATATGAAGGCTCCACACTGTACTACATGCACATGAGCACACGCACATGCACGTACAGTACCTGACACTCAGTAACAGGAGCTTACAGAACCAGAAGGAAACTGGGGTAGGAGGTTGAGTCTGCAAATCTGTTGAAAGGCAGCCCCAACCTCCTGACCTTGGCTGCCTGGCCCCTCTCACTTCACCCTGTGTGCCTCACAGGGCTCCTTGGATGATAGCCTGCTAAGAAGGGATCCTGTGAGCAGATATCCCCATGGAATCCAAAGACAAAGATGTGGTTCCCTCGCTGGGCTCTCCCTGGGCCTCCGGGACAGGGCCCTGGGATGCCATCCTCAAGGCTGTCAAAGACCAACTCCCATCTCTGGACTCGGACTCCTCCTTGGTAAGCAAGAATTTTCTTCCCAGGCGCCGACTGTCCTTTCTTCCTGTGACAGATATGATGCTGACCAGGGACAGCTGGAGCACTCCTCTCTGCAGTTTGTTTTCATTTCTTTTTTTTTTTTTTCCTTTTTGTCTTTTTTCGTGACCGGCAACAGATCGCAACCCTCAGTGTCGCGCCCGTACCGGACCTGGACCGGCAACGGGATCGCAACCCTTAGTGTTGCGCCCGCACCTTGCTCAGCCAGTGAGCGGCCGGTCTGTACGTGGGATCCGAACCCTCGGCGGGAGCGCCGCCGCACTCCCAAGCGGCACACTGTAGCAGTGCGCCACCGGGCCGGCCCTGTTTTCATTTCACTTTACATCATCTGGCCTACTTAAAGCTTTGTCTTCTGGGTTCCTGTTTCCTTCCTTATCCTTTCTTCTGCATTTATCATCTTCTTTGAACACTGGTGCTCGGCATCCTCGAGGAAACCCAGGTGGCTTGACGCTGGAGCCCTGCTCTTTCTACTCTGTTGCTGTGCTGTTCTCGACTCTGTTGGGCCTGGAAGGGGCCAGAGCCACCACCGGGAGTGGTGGCCATTCCAGTGCATCTGATATGCCCCTGAAGGAATTCTCCAGTCATGGTTTGTGGTCACTGAAATGGCTCTCAAGGACGCCCAGCACCAATTGCCTTGTGCACACATGTAAGACTGGACAGTGACCTTGCCACCAATGCACCAGGCAGTGGCTCCTCAGCACACAGGCTGGCACTGGCACTTAGAGAAAGAGCAAGGGTTTGGCTGCTATTTGGACACCTGCAAAAATGAACATGACAAAGCTTCGGGGACCTCATAGGTCATCCAGTCCTCAGTGAGGCTAAGGAGTAGATAGGGTGACTCCAGAACCTCAGTGCTCCAAGCATTCTCAGGTCTTCAGTCTCATTTGTGCTTTTCTTCAGAATATCCCTGTAAGGTGGGCCAGCAAGTATCCCCCATCTCCCTGTCCCAAATAGGCTCTGCGTCATTAAGCAATGGCTCAAGGTCACATGGGAGGGTTTGGGCTCGACTTTGCTCTTTCGGCTCGCTGTCCTGTTCAGGCTGCATCAGGCAAGAACCAGGCACTAACAAGCACCTGCTGCATGTGAGGTCTCAGGTGTGGCAGGTAGTTGCAGAATCGGAAGCCTTGGAATCTCACCTCCACGAGGTGCTGCCAAGCACACTTCTTAATCCGTGGCAGGAAGCAAGGCCCTCTGGGAGAGAACTGGATCTCCCTAGATGCTCCTGAGCAGTAGGGCTGGGCAGGCTGGGCTGGGAGGGCGAGGGTGGAGGGCAGAGGGAGGCTGGGCCCCCCTGGCCTTGCTGGCTGCCATATAACCCAAAAGTCCTCTCATTTGCCCACAGTCAGACTGCGGGGAAGAGGAGCTGTTCATCTTCCAGCGAAACCAAACTGTCCTGATTCCAGACCTGTCGGAAGAGCTGGCTGAAGACCCTGCTGATGGCGACAAGTCCAGGACCTGGGTCGTTGAGGCCGAAGGGTCCCCTCCTGAGGTTTGTGGGATGCAGAAGTGTGTGGGGGGATGTCTGCGGATCTCAGTAGACTCTAAACAGCCATGTGGGTCTAAAATGGTCAAAACCACAGGTCTAGCATTTCTGCAATACCCAGTCCTTCTTTCTCCGGGTACAACTGGTGACATTCAGGTGCCCAACATCTGACAGCCATGCATTCCCTCTCTCAGGGGGCCCAGCACACTTTAGGCCAGGGTGGGGACTTGCTTTTCTGTCTGATTTTGCCCCCTGCTCTTCCTCTTGACCTTTCCTGTCCTGTTTTCTGCCATGGCACCCTGAACTGTCTGGCCATTGTCCCAACTGCTTTTCATAATCCCAGCTGACTTCATGGCTACCTGGCTCATTACAAGATCCAAACCTGGCAAGTAAATAGGAGCTCCCTAAACATTTGTTGAATTACTGAAGGCCACAGTGGGGAGTCAGGGAAGGAGGTGCTCTGTAAATGCCTGAGCACAGGCACCAGCTGCACCCTGGCGAGGAGGTGGGGAAAACTCAGGAAACAGAAAATGCCACGATACATTCTCTAGACCTGGTAGTCGCCATAATTGCCAGATGTCAGAGCAAATTTTCCACCTCTTGTCTCCCTATTTCCCAGGGTCCCAGGTAAGACCAGGAACTCGACCTAAAGTTAATGGCTTGATGCTTAAAATTAAGTGCTACCTTACAAATAGAGCCCATCCATTAGCTTTCATCACTGGGCAGGCCCCAGTCTGTAGGGCCTGTTCAGCTCTTCTTGTGAAAAGATAGAGGCTCTTCCCACTTCCAGCTGTCAGTGCAGGATTCCCTCCCCATCACCATGACAGAAATCACCCACCAGCCCAGCCATACCTAGAAGTAGTTCAGAAATAACTCCAAACGGGAGAAATTCCCAGGGTAGCTAAGACCCTAGTAAGTTCAAGTGGAACAATTTCCATGTGACTTTATTTTGTGTTTTCTTTTTCATTTTTTTTTTTTTAATTTACAAGAAAATGAAATTTATTGCTTACTGTTTTGGAGGCTGGGAAGTATAAAGTCCAGGAAGGCCTTGGTGGTGGCGACAGTGACCCAGGGGTCTCACTTCTCAAGTGCTCTCTTTTTAAAGCCCTCAGAACCACGCCCCTGACCACCATTCTTAATCTATTCACCATGGCATGTTCCTACAATCCAACCACCTCTTCAAGGCCCAACCTTTCAATTACCATAATAGGTCCACCCTCAACAGTTACAGTGGAGATTAAGCCTCTAATACATGAACTCGGGGGGACACAGTTCAGTCAATCCACAGCACACCTGCATCTGCATCCCACAGGCCCTTCTCTGGGCAGACTGAGTTTCCTACCTGGTGCCCTGCGGCCTCCTAACCGGGTGGATATCATGGACCCCCTGAGATGCAGTAGTTGCCCACCTGTGGCCAGGCTTGGGCCTGTCAGCCACAGCCTTTTGCTTCATTTCTACTCTACGGTTACTTTGGCAACTCTTCTGGACAATTTTTTTTTCCTTTGGCAATCTGGGATGGGAAAGTCTGTACCAACTCACAGAAAGGCTGTGGGCTTGCTCTGGTCCCCCACTTGACAGCTGTGTGGGCTTGGATAGGGGCCACCGTGTCTGAGCCTTGGCTCCCTCATCTGTAAAGGGGCGACAGTGACAGGTCATCTGTGCTGTCCAGATAGAAGGGAAGTAATAAACAGTGGCTTTTGTTATTATTATTGGTCACTTAAATATTGCTCCACTGGCTGTAACAATAAGTCCTGCTCTAGCCTTCTATTTTTTGGGGGGGTCAGGGCAGCTGGCTGGCTGGTATGGGGATTTGAATCCTTGACCTTGGTGTTATAACACCACACTCTAACCAGCTGAGCTAACCAGCCAGCCCTTCTCGCCTTGTATTTAAATAGATGAACGCCTAATGTTTTTTGTTGTTTTTTTTCTAAAAGATGACCGGTAAGGGGATCTTAACCCTTGACTTGGTGTTGTCAGCACCACGCTCACCCAGTGAGCCAACCGGCCATCCCTATGTAGGGATCAGAACCCACGGCCTTGGTGTTATCAGCACCGCACTCTCCCGAGTGAGCCACGGGCCGGCCCTGTAGTCTAATGTGTTTTAATGGTAGCTTCCCAATGAGGACCACATGCCTGTCTGCAATGGTCGTGCCTGCTGTTTCCATCTGGGGCTGCTGCTTTCACCGTTCAGTTCAATCTATGAGCTTCAACACTAGTCACAGCCTGCCTCTGTGGCATATAATTACAGGTGCCTGAAGTCAAAAGGCAAGATAATCTCCTCCAAAAGACTTGAAAATTGTATAGCATTAGGAGAAACAAAATTAAATTCCCTACCTTAGGTAAAAAAATAAAATAAAATAAACTCTTGTATGGTGATGTTCGTTGCAGCACTATTCACAATGGCCAAAAACTGGAAACAAACGTGTCCTTCAGTAGATGAACAAACAGAATGGGATCTTCTGTCTATACAGTGGAATGTTTTTCCGCCATAAAAAGGAATGGAGCACTGACCCAGGCTAAAACATGCATGAACCTGGAAACCATTATGCTCAGTCAACAAAGCTGATCACAAAAGGACAAATTTTGTATGACTCCACTTACATGAAATATCTAGGATAGGCAGATCCAAAGACAGCAAGCAGAGCAGAGGTTACTGGGGGATGGGGGAGGGGAATGGCGAGTGACCACTAATGAGTTCAGAGTTTCTGTTTGGGAGGATGCAAGTTTTGGAAATAGGTAGTGGTGATGGTTGCACAACATTGAATGTTATGAATGCCATTGAACTGTACACTTAACGATTAAAGTGGAAAATTTTTGGGCCGAGCCCATGGCGCACTCGGAAGAGTGCCGCGCTGGGAGCGCAGCAGCGCTCCCGCCACGGGTTCGGATCCTATATAGGGATGACCGATGCGCTCACGGTGCTCACTGGCTGAGCACAGTGCGGCCGGTCTCAAAAAGGACAAAAAAAAAATAATAATAAAAAATAAATAAATAAAGTGGAAAATTTTGATATATACCTATTTGACCATGAAAAAAATTCCCCGATGTATGTTTCTGAGGATGCTAACCAAGGACACCTGTTTTCTCCATAGCCAGTTCTGGTGCCCATGGCATTCACTGCAGAACCCAGGAGTGGATGGAATGCCAGGACAAAGGATTCAGTCTCCTGGGAAGGCAGGGACCCTGGTGGGCCTTCGGAGAGCTGCGATGAGATCAACTCTCTTCTCAGGATGGCCGAGGAGACCCCCGAGGGGCTGGAAGGCGACCTTGCCAGCATGTCCTTCAATACCAAAGTATCCCAGAGTCCTCCCTGGGGCCTGCAGGGAGAAGCTTCCCCCTCCCCCCACGAAGGGGACCCGAACACAGATCCCCCGAGCACTGCCTCACAAGACCCTGTGAACCGCAGAGCCCTGCGACGGGAGAGAAGGAAGATGATAGAGAAGGACATACTCCGGAAAGTGACCTGGGATGCCCGGGACCCAGCCTGCAGTGACCAAAGCCAGGAGGAGATGTCCTGCCAGGCTGGAGAGTCAGCTCATGGACCAGAACCACCTCCGGAGGTGCCTCGCGAAGGATGGCCCGTGCTCTCGCTCAAGGTAGGTGACTCCCACTGCCTGGCTCCTCCTTGGGCCTGTCCCCTTCCCAGAGTGCTGGGACTAGAACCAGCTTGAGGGCTAGCCCACTAATACCTTAGGCTCATGGTCCCAGATCCACTAGCCAGTGAGCAGCTGTACCTATTTCGGGGGGACAAAGTGGGAGATGAGGTCCCCAGCAGAGATGTCATCTTCAGGTAGAGTTAACAGGATCACAGAAGAGCAGGAGGACTCCAGCCTTCTTTAAAGAGGAAAAAAGGCTGGCCACTTAGCTCACGTGGGAGAGCATGGTGCTGACAATGCCAAGGTCACAGGATCAGATCAAGGAATACTGGTCCCAGATGCATTTATTAATACATACAACCATATGTAAAATATAGAAGCAGACTCTGTCAAAGCATCATTCTCAGCATGTTAAAGACCTCATCCTTGTACAACTATGAGCACCTGTTAAGGTTGTATTTAGTGCATTAATGAGGGAACCCGTAGGCTAACAAAACCAGTTTAAAAGATTATGAGGATCTGAATTCTGTAAGATAATGGGAAAACAGGAAGGAATGCACCTGGTCCAAAAAAAAAAAAAAAGAAAGGAATGCAGAGATAAAATTGCCATTGTGTGCAAAAAGAGCTTCATCCAGGCCAACACAACTGTTATCTTTGGGGTTAGCTCATCTACTGAACAGAAAAGAAAACCATCTTTTCTTGGTTTTACAAAGTTGTGAAATAGGGAGCCCTGGTCAATTGTGCAAACCAAGTTGCCTTTCCCTGAAAGGTGGGTGTTGGGAAAATAGAATAGTTTGGTCAGGGCCCTCACCTCGGGTCCCGTGGGGTGTGGTTTTAGCACATCCTTTGTAAGCAAATTGTGTGTGTGTGTATGTGTGTGTGTGTGGATTAGTGTGCATGTGCGCCAATGTATCTTTTTAGTTTTGTTGCTATTATGTTCTTGGGGGGTGGGGGGGGAGAGAGAGAGAGAGAGAGAGAGTTTAGTGAAGCAGGCGGGCAAGCATCCGCCTGGCGCAGCCATGCTTTCCAACCTATGGCTTCCAGGGACCTTTTGGCTGGTTACCTAGGTCATAGACCTGCGTGTAAGGGGTCCGGTGACCCAGCCTGGTGTGTGCGGGGTCTGGTGACCCAGCCTGGCGTATGAAGGGTTTGTGACCCACTCTGTGAATGGGTTTGAGGGGTCTGGGAACTCCAGACCCAGCCTTAGCTCAACAATTAGTCCAGTCGGCAGGATTACCAGCAGGTAAAAGAGCCCAACAACTGGCGTGGTCGTGGAGCTAGACATTTGGCATCATGAACAGGATTAAGAGTGCTAAAACTGGCGATGTCGACAGGATTCCAGACATTTGCCATAGCACCACAGTGAGTTTGTTGGGAAGGGCTCCAGCCTGACAGTGAAAGGCCATGCAATTCTGTCTGCCTTATTTACAAATTTTGGATAATTTTTCTTAACAACTTAGAGAAAACTGACACCAAAGTACACATGGAAGTCTTTTTCATTCCTGTTTAAATAAACCATTTTTTCCTTTCTGCTCACCCCTTAAAAACTTATTTTTCCTTACCCATAGGCTGCAAGAAGTTGCAAGGTCATATATAATAAACATTAATTCTTGATTATTTCTTCCCTCTTCATCTTCCCCACTCTGCCCCTAAAGCACTCTTTGCCAAGTCCTCCAGTTTTGCCTACAGCAATCTGTTTCTTAAAAGAGACTTTTTAACCTCCAAAGATTTTGAACCTAAATAGTTTTTTAAATGACCAGGGTTTCCTCCAGGTCAGATAACATCTTTTTGCCCAAAAGTATTAACCCAAAAAAGGTGTAGGCAGGAGGTGGCAAGAAATGCAGTCCCCACCTTGGGGGACTTGATCAGTAACTGAGATGGTGGATGAGCCCATCTGTAACCCTGGCATGCGTTTAACCCCGATTTGTACCACACCACCTCCCACGGCAACCTCTGTCACTCCCAGCAGCTGTGAAAGCAGGCCTCTGGGAGGCCTGTAACACCCTCGTAATCACTGGTTTAATTATTTCAGCAACTTGAAGAGTGGGATTTGGATTACACCCTTCAGAGTCTGGCGGGGCAAGAAGACAACCAGGGAAATCATGTACCTGGAGGCATGTGGTGGGCCACCAAAGCCGACCACCACCAAAGCCGAGGTTTGACCTTGAATGCCAGAGCCCTAGTGAATCCCCACAAGCAGCTCCATCCAGGGCCTTTCAAGAATAGAGGGCCGTGGGCTGGGCACAGTCAGCCCTGCAGCCCACGTTTCCTCTCTGCTTGCTTGACTCCCACTGCCCTGCACACTCATGTGGCCAGTCTTTGGAAGACTTCATTCATTCATTCATTCATTCATTCAACATATCCATGACTATGTATGTGCCAGGCATAAGCCAGGCCATGGGGACACAGGAAGGACCTTCAGACATGGTCCCTGCTGTGTGACCCACACCTTTTTCTCCTCCCCACTCCTGGAGCCTGCCTGCCTTCTGCCCTTCCTCTCCTTCTTCCGTGGGGGGAGGGGGGGTGAGTCCTGCATTTGGTCTGTTCCCTAAACGCACTTCTGCATCCACCCACCTCCCCATTCAAAAAGGAAGGCTAAAGATGTCGTCACTGTCCCTGCACTTGTGCTCTTGCTCTGGGCACTTCTACAGATAACATGAAACCTCCCCACCCCCTCACCACCCACTGGGGCCCACAGCAGGACACAGGCAGGTCTGAGGCAGGAGAGCCGTGGCAAGTGCCAGGTTTCTAGCCTCCAGTTCCTGAGCCAAGACCCCCACGGTGACTGACAGCCCCTGTGCTGTTTTAAGCATTGTTTTGAATGTTTGTCATTCACACTGCGATGGCAGGACGTGGAGAAACTGATCCTCCTGTAAGGTGCATGTGTGCATCTGCGCATGCACGTGCATGTAACTGGTACACCCTTTCTGGAGGGCAGTGTGGCAGAGTCTGTTCTCTATTTTAAAGGCACATAACCCTTTGGTCAAGCTATTCCACCCCAAAGATATGGCCTAAATACATACTCACCCTAGAGAGTAAAGAGACGTATTGAAGGATGTTGGTTGCAGTGTTGTTTAAATTTGTGAAAATATTGGAAACAACCCATATTCATTCCATAGGAATCTAGCTAAGTCAGTTATAGCATAGAATGCACTGCAGCTCAGTGAGGGAAATCTATATGTTTAATGTGGAATAACATAATATATAATATATAAAAATATAAATTATATATAAATATACATAAATTATGTAATTTATAAAGTTTAAAAAATCTGTAGAGGATGATCCCATTGCTACTAAAAAAAAAATACACAGAATTGTTAATAATGGTTACTGGTGGGACTGGGGAGTAAGGAAGAAAGAGAAACTCCAATAATAAGTCCCCCCTACTTCACAAGTTCACACACAGCAGCTCCTGCTCATGAAGACATACTCCTCCCCTCGGCCCTGCTGAGCTGCAGCCAGGGTCCTCAGAGAGGGCTGAGTAGTGAGGGCGGGGGCAGTGGATGAGTCTGAGGCCCACTCACACAAGGAGACCCAAGGAGGCTTGAGCTGCTGTAAGTCACACGGAGACTGAGTCCCCGCTGAGCAGCCCCTCTTCTTTGGCCCTCCTCAGACCACACTGCACCGAGTGCCCAGGACAGGCTGATGGAACGGCTGGCCCTCCTGTGTGCCACACAGTCCAGAGCCTCTGCCTCTGCCTGGAAGGTGGCTGACAGCACAGCCAGGGACACGGAGGAGGAGGCTGGAAGGAGGTGGGACTTCTTGCGAGCCTCAGCCCCTTCATTTCTTTAGAAGTGGCACATGATTGTGCCACAGTGATTGGACCTGCTACAGGTGGGGCATTTATGTGTATTTTCTCATTCAGTCTCAAGAATCTGATCAGACAGGTGCTGCTATTATCTGAGGATAAGAGACTGAGGCTCAGAGAGATTGACTCTCCCTGGCCATTAATGGCAGACCCTGTCGGAACCCTCTTTCCCCAAACCTCTGGGAACCCTCTCTTCATATGGCCTTGCTGGGAGCAAGAGGGTTGTCCCAAGATCCTGCCCCTCTGGCCACAGTTGATTGGTCCAGCCCTGGACATGTGACCCTGGCCAGGCCAATCAGAGCCTTCCCCTGGGACTTTCCAATCTCTGTGTCTCTGTAGGGATCCAAGGGCTGTATGCAGCCACCTGTCCTGCCACCTGCAGAAAGGCAAGCTGCAGTGACAGAGAGTGAAGCTGGGGGAGGCAGAGATAGAGACAGGGCCTTTCCCTTCCCACACTTTGATTTTTCTGCCCTTTTTAGGAATTTGAGAGCCAATGAATTCCCCTTTTTGCCTGAGCTAATTGGAGAGGGTTTCTGTGCCTGGCAACCAAAAGTAGCTAATAGAAATGGCTACACCTGCAGTCTCCAATATGGTGGCCACTGGCCACACAGGCTACCAAACACTTGGAAAGTGGCTAGTGCAACCAAGGCACTGAATTCTTATTTTATTCATTTGATTTTAATTAGCTTAAGTGTACATTTAAAAAACCACCTGTGTTGGGCTGGCCTGTGGCTTACTCAGGAGAGTATGCTGCTGATAACACCAAGTCAAGGGTCGAGATCCCCTTACCGGTCATCTTTTAAAAAATTTTTTGAAAAATAATAAAATAAAAAGCCACCTGTGGTAAGTGGCTACCATATTGGACGGTGCTGGCCTAATGCTCAAGGGTGTTTCTGAAGAGTAAAAGAGTAGACACTTTGGAAGTGCCTGTTGACACACAGTGGGCACTCATTCAGTGGCAGCCCTGAGCATCGTGAATCGGACAAGCCCAGCACAGGTCACAGGAATCACAGAGAAGAGACTCGGCAACTCTGCTTTTCTCCTCTCAGATGTGCCTCAACGAAGCCAGGCTGCCAGGCTGAGCTGGACTGGAATGTGGCCAAGGGCATGAGGCTGAAGATGGAGCCTCCCACCATCTTCATCGATCTGCGTCAGACAGAGCCACCAGACCACAAGTCCCCAGAAAGGTACAGACAGCATGACAACCTGCAGCAGAATCCCCACCTTGCCAAGCTGCATGGAGGCCTCTGCTGGTTCCTACTGAGGAGAAATAGGGACTTGGAAAGCCTGGAACACTGCTAGGTTGAGAAGTGCTTTTAGCCAGGAATAGGGACTGGCCACCAATCCCATGTGGCCCCTGCAGAAGGGATGAAGAGGGGCAGAAGTCCACCTTCCTGGGCTAAGCTCTGAGCTAACTCTGTGCAGGCTGGAGTCCAGCACCCTGTACCTCCCTCTGCCACTTGGCAGGAGGTCTGACAGCCTTCCAGCTGCTGCCCCCTTGCCCTGGGTCGCCAGGGAAACCTGAGTGCTCCAAGTCCCTGGCGGGAGCAGGGCCTGGCCGGGTGGACTGGGGCACGTGCCACAAATGCATTTCCTCTCCTCCCCAGCTCCAGCCACAGTTCCTCTGACACTGAGGAGGAGGAAGAGGAGACAGCAGCTCTGGGAGACCAGCAGGGCCCAGTGGCACAGGCATCTCCTTCCTCCCGGGGACTACGGTAACCACAAAGGGGCCTCTCCACACCTTGTGCTGATCCAGATCCCCGCTTTCTGCAGCAAGTCCCCGACCTGGCGAGCTTTCAGCTCTGGGTCTTGCACCCTAAGGGCAGAGGGTGGGGACGGGCTGTGGGAGCCCAGATAGCACACAGCACCCATCTCCCAGCCTGGCCTGCTGTGCCTCAGACACTATCAGAACACCCTAGCTTGCTCTTGAGGAGAGCTTCATATGTTTCCTTTCTGAAAAGTAGCTCCCGGAATGGATTTTGCTTCTGCTACCATATTAGTCCATTTTGGGTTGCTATAACAGAATTACCTGAGACTGGGTAATTTATAAGGAAAAGAGGTTTATTTGGCTTACGATTCTGGGACAGCTGCATCTGGCATGGACCTCAGGCTGCCTCTACTCATGGCGGAAAGTCCCAGGCAGCTGGTGGTGGCTACAAGCAGATCACATGGTGAGAGGAAGCAAGAGAGGAGGTGCCAGGGTCCTATAAACAACCAGCTCTCGCAGGAACTAATAGAGTGAGAACTCACTCATTAATCCCCCACCCCCGGGGGAAAGCATTAATCCATTCATGAGGGATCTGCCCCCATGACTCAGTTTCCAGCACTGCCTCACTGGGGACCAAATTTCCACATGAGTTTTGGTGGAGACAACACATCCAAACTATCAGCTACTGATAACATGGAAGTAAAGAGAGATCGTAGGGTGGAATGAAGTGATGGCTGTTAGCCGGAACTGAAGGGCTTGGGTGATTTAAAGAGGGAAACACCAGTTCAGATGTGGCTGGGGTCCTGGATGCAAGGGAGGCCCCCATGCTGTGGTCACTGGGCCAGCGGGAATCAATTACAGGCCAGGGCAGCTTCTAGCGCCTGCAGAACTGCCCAGCCTGGGATCCCACCCTTCAGGAATGTCAGCGTCTCCTGCAGCTCTTCCTTAATGTGGCGTGTGATTAGGGAGTACAGGAAAGAATGGGAAGGAAAATTTGGATTGAGAAGTGTTCATCGGGTCTCCTGTCAGAAGCCTCTGACATGCTCCATTACTTGTCTTTTGCTGTGCAGAAGCTTTTTAGTTTGACATAATCCCATTTGTTTATTTTTTTCTTTTGTTTCTTATGTTTTTGGGGTCTTATTCATAAAGCTAAAATGCAGCACTGTGAGGCTTGCTGGTTAGCTCAACTAGTCGGAGTATGGTGCTAATCACTAAAGTCCAGGCTTCGGTCCCTGTACCAGCCAGCCAAAAAATAAGTGAATAAGTAAAATGCACTGAATGGCAAGGGCTGAGCATCCTGAGAGCCAGGGAACATGCTTCTGGAAGTGCTCTGGCTTTTCTGTGTTTGCATCTGGGCATCAAAGTGCCTCTTTCCTTCTCTTGGCAACACCTCTTTGCAGGTGTTTGCCTTTCTCAGGAGTATGGAGTCTAGGTTGGTGTGCTGGCCATGCAAGCACCTTCTGGTCTGGGGAGCAGGGAGCAGCACTGGTCACGTCTCATGGCGGTGGGCACCAGGGCCTCCGTGCTGGGCAAATTGAGCACCTACCACCTGCCCTGCAGCTCTGGAGTCAGCTGACCTGGGCTCAAATCCAGGCTGCTCCTCTTACTACCTGGGGACTTTCAGCAAATCACTGTCTTGCCACACCTTGATGTCTTTGTGTAGAAACGGGGTAATTTTTTTTTTTTTTTTGTCTTTTGTCTTTTTTCCGTGTCCAGCAACGGATCGCAACCCTCAGTGTTGCCCCCGTACCGGACCGGGGACCGGCAACGGGATTGCAAACCTCGGCGTTGCTCCCGCGCCTCGCTCAGCCAGTGAGCGGGAACCGGTCTGTATGTGGGATCCGAACCCTCGGGCGGGAGCGCCGCTGCGCTTCCCAAGCGGTGCACTATCCAGTGCGCCACCGGGCCGGCCCAAAACGGGGTAATTTTAATGCCTACCTCAAAGGATTCCAGAGTCAGGCACATAGAAAGTATTCAGTAAACAACTATGTTGTGGGTCCAGGCTCTGAAACCAGAATGTTCTCTCCCATGCCAACTGGGAGATTAGCCCAACTCCACTGGAGAGCTCTCTTGATAAGAACGTCTCTGGTCCGATATTCTTTCTAGAACTATCCATCAGTTGGGTTTTTTTTGTTTTTGTAATAGCTCTGTTTATTTTCTGTCTCCCCACTGAAATGTACCCCCACAATGGCAGAGAGTGTTAGTATTAAGAGAGAGGGCCTTTAGGTAATTAAGTTATGAAGGTGAACCCCTCATTGATGGGATTAGCACCCTTACAAAAGGGCATGAGGGAGTGACTTTGGCCCCTTTTTGCCCACCCAGGAACGAGGTGCCATCTTGAAGCAGATGGCAGCCCTGCCCAGACTCCAAACTTGCATACTCATGCTATAAAATGTGCTTTTAAGTAAAAAAAAAAAAAAAAAGCCAAAAATATAATAGTATGTTAGGATTACAACAATGTATGAAAGTATAAATATGAAAAAGGACTAGCTTTACAAAAACCAAATCAGTTAGCATATAAGTGTTCTATGCTGCTGCAATGTTCCTGTAACTGAAGAGAGAAGGGATGGAAGAAAATCTGCTGCCAGGACCCAGGTTACAGTGAGGCCCTCACATGAAAAACCAAGAGCACCTTAGGCTGCAGTTCCAGCCAGTTGGCCGAGTGCAGGGTCTGCGTCAGCTGACAGCACCTAAGCCCTGCCACCCGTTTTCCCGTAAAGGTCCCCTTCAGCAGCTGTCCTTCCATCGCCCTTCCCTTCAGCAGGTATGCTGCCTTCCCTGCCTTGGCAGTGGTGGTAACTTCGAAGCCACTGCTGTGCCACGTCTCCCCACCTGACCTGAGCTGCAATATTGCTTCTTTTTTGTTTTCATAAGTTTTTCATGTTTCTTTTTCATCTCTAGTTTCTTCTCTGCGGCTGTTTCTACAACTCTTTTATTCTTCTCCTCTTTGCTTTCCTCATCATCTATAAATGTTTCCTGATGTTCAGTGTCACAGTATTTGCAGTCACGATCTTCCCTGTCATGGTCTTCGCTGTCATGGTCTTCAGTGTCATGGTCGTCGTGGTCATCACCCTTAAGTTCAATGACTTCAGGCTTGATGTGCTGCCTGCCGTAGTCGAAGCACCTGAAGTACCTCCTGAATATCCTTGTCACTCTTCCGGACCCATCACTAAGGCACTCCTGTAGTAGGCTGGAGTGCTGTCAGAGCCGTGGTTGACAGAAATCATCACATCAAATTCGACCCCAGCATGATGTTTGAGGGCCAAATGGATGTGCATGTGGCTGGGTTGGGAGAATCACACACTCAAAATTGTGAAGGAAGGCAGTGTGCCCGGGGTCGGCGGGAGGACTGCCACTCTGGTGGACAGGACAGGGGTGGCTCCCTTGGGCAGGAAGGAGGGGGCTCCGTTTGGTGGGAAGTCCCTGGCTACCAAACCTCCTTTTTTGTTCCTTTCCTCATCATCTATAAATGTTCCTTGGTGTTCAACATCACTGTCTTTGCCTTCACAGTACTGGGTCTCATGGCCCTCAAATTCAATATCTTCAGGCCGGACGTTGTGCAGGGGGCTCTAGTGTTTGGGAAGGCAGGGAGTCTTGGCGGTGGGAATGCCTTGGCTACCAAACCTGTTTTGTTTTTTTCCTCTTTGCTTTCCTCATCATCTATAAATGTTTCTTGATGTCCAAAGTCATCGTCTTTGCATTCATAGTACTCAGTCTCACGGCCCTCAAATTCAATATCTTCAGGCCAGAGGCAGTGCAGGGGGCTCTGGTGGTTGGGAAGGCAGGGAGTCTTGGCAGGGGGAATGCCCTGGCTACCAAACCTATTTTCTTTGTTTTTTTCCTCTTTGATTTCCTGATCTACTATAAATGTTTCTTGATGTTCAAAGTCATCGTCTTTGCATTCACAGTATTTGGTGTCATTGCCCTCAAATTCAGTATCTTCAGGCTGAAGGCAGTGCAGAAGGCTGGAAGACGGCAGGACCTGTGGAGGATACTAACATCAGAGGGATTTAACCTTTAGCTTACTAGGACCACAGTCCTTAGCTGTTAGAAGGGCCAAAGCCCTTTAGTTTAGGCTGAAGCATAGTAGGGCCACAGCCCTATAGTTTTAGGAAGGCCAAAGCCTTGTAGCTTAGGAATAGCCTAACCTTTTAGAATTGCACATAGAAATGCTAAGCTTTGGAAAAAAACAGAAAACTTTCACAGGACTAAAAAGTCTCTGGTGTGGATATGAAAATTGTAACACAATTGCACATAGAAATGCTAAGCTTTGGAAAAAAACAGAAAACTTTCACAGGACTAAAAAGTCTCTGGTGTGGATATGAAAATTGTAACACAGCAAAAGTGCTTGCTCTAAGGGCAGATGTCCTTGGTGCAGGTAAGCCTAATAATGGGAAAATAGTTGTGCTAAAAGCTTCAAAGCTACTCTGCCAGTTAGTGGTTGGTTCCACATTTCTCCTTCAGCTGTTTAAGTTTCCTAGGGAACTATGTGTTGCCATAATGATTATCTCATTTGTTGTTTTGTATGTCACATAGCTTAGTTTTATGACTCCTTTGATGGTAAATTGCTTAAACTATTTTAAAGTTGCACCTGCTTTAATGAAAATTGTCATGTAGCCAGTTTGTTTTCACTATGACTGATTAACCACCTGTGTTTTCTCCTGTGACTTTCTTGCCTGGACAATAAAAACAGAGAGAAAACCTAGTTTGGGGTTATTTCCCAGGAATTCCTTCTCTCTTGAAGAAGTCTTCTCCTAGAATTAACCCCTTCTGGGCCTGTCACTGCTCTGGAAAAATGGGCTTTGAGTAATCCTTTGCATCTCTGTCACCCTGGGGGAGAGGTGACAAATGGTGCTGTGTGTGAGGCATTTATGACTCCATGGATCAGGGACCGACATGCCAAGCCTTGGAGAGGAAAAGGACATCTGACATTTATTTACACATCCCAGCAAGGGAAGTCCCAGCAAGGGAAACGCATCCCAGTAAGGGAATCATAGGCAGTTTTGGGTTAGCAGTGCACACCTGCGGCAGGTCAAGTCAGGTCTTTTCAGGCCAAAGGGTTTTGTTTCTCTTTCTTTCACTTTTAAAATATGGGAAGTCCCTTATCTAAGGAGGAGACTGAACATAAATTACAACTCCAATGTCTCCTTAAAGTAACTGGCCGGCAACTTGTAAAACTTAGTAGTTACTAGACAACAATGTCCTTGGTATCCCAAGGAAGGAAGTCTTGATATTGAGGATTGGGAATGAATTGGTCATTGTTTAAGAAATGCATCAGGTCCTGTTAAGGCATCTTATTGAATGGTTTGGAAATATGTCAATTTGCTTTAAGATCTATTCAGGACCCTAATAAAGAACAAAAATGTGTTTATGTCACTAAAGAGGAGGAAAAACAGTCCTTGCCTCCTCCCCTGCCCCTACTGTTAGAGGCGAACAATTCATTTGCTCCCTTGATGGAGCGTTGTCTCAAAGAAGGACATAGCATGGGAATTGATACTTGTCATGTCTTTCCTGTTGTAAGAACTGGGACTCAGTCCAGGCATGAAAACTTCCCATTTTCCTTGTTTGAAAGATTTAAAAAAGAGCATAACAGAAAATGGCTTACATAGTACTTTTACTAAGGGATATTTAGAATCAATTGCCAATGGGTATAATATGACCCCTTGGAATTGGAAAACACTATAATATGACCCCTTGGTTTTACTAAGGGATATTTAGAATCAATTGCCAATGGGTATAATATGACCCCTTGGAATTGGAAAACACTTGGAAAAACTGTTTTAACAACTGCTGAATATACTGTATGGTTACAAGAATATTGGGAAGCTTTACATGCTATTATTCTAGAAGATATACAGAACAATGTTCAAATTGACATGAATATGTTGTCTGGAGAAGGAGATTTTATAACACCTCAGGCACAGGCTTTACTTCCTCAGCAAGTGCTTGACCAAACAACTTGTGCAGCCGTAAAGGCTTGGAACAAAATTCCCGAAACAATACTCCCACTAAATCTTTCACTACTATTAGACAGGGTCCCACTGAGCATTATATAGATTTTATTAACTGTCTTCAGGATGCCATAACTAGACAAATTGATAATGCTCAGGTAACCCAGGTACTTTCACTACAATTGGCTTTTGACAATGCTAATGAAGACTGTCAAAAGGTCCTTCTTCCAATAAAAAACAAAAATCCCACTCTTGCTGATATGATCAGAGCTGGCCAAAATGTGGGAACTGAAACCTATAAAGCCCAAGTTCTTGCTGTGGCTCTCCAACCTAAAAAATGTTCTAAATGTGGAAAGGAAGGTCATTTTCAAAAGGATTACAAACAACAAAAAGTAAAACGACCAAAAAAAAAAGTTCTAAATGTAAAAAGGATTTCATTGGCCAAATGACTGCAGATCTAAATCTGATATAGAAGGCAATCCCATATTGGGAAATGGGCAAGGGGGAGCTGACTCTTGCACCCCAATAAACAAGGAGAGTCAAACTCTCATGCTCAGGTTCAGACCTGGACTCCTCCCCAGAATAATTTTCCTCCCCCAGGCTTCAAATAAATGATCAGACAATTGTCGATTTGACCTTAACGGAAGATGCTATTTTAGGTGAAGTAGGACAAGTACAATCTCTCCAGCCCATTACCTTTCAACGCCCTTGGTATTATACTGGGCAATCTAAAATACTCTATAATTGGTATCCAAATTATTCCAGAACTAATTCCACCTAATAGTCTGGGACCAATTCATGTTATGATAACCAGTTTAGGATAAGGGACTCAAATAGCTCAACTAGTTCTCTTGTCCTCTTTGTTTCCTGAAACAAAATCTGAACCTCAATCTCCTGCTTCTGATACTTTTTGGATACAAAAATTAAATAATGCTCAGCCACTGTTAACATTATCTGTTGAACAAAAGTAAATTACAGGATTGGTAGATTCAGGGGCTGTTAGGATAATTGCAAAAAAAGATTGGAATCCATAATGGAAAACAGCTTCTTCGCCAGTTAAACTTACTGGACTAGGTGGGTCCAAATCCTCTTGTCAAAGTAAAAATCCTTTATTACGTACTGGCCCCGAGGGACAAACTGCCTCCATTATGCCTTATGTTCTAGATCTCTCTCAAACTTTATGGGGCTGAGACCTTGCTCAATGGGATGTTTATATTGGGACATCTTCAAAATTTATCATGACAGCCACTGCCACACTCCCGCCACTCAAACTACAATGGACCCCTGGTCCTCCAGTTTGAGGGGAGCAGTGGCCTCTTAAAAAGGATAAATTAAATCAAGCTACTTTACTTGTCAAACAACAGTTACTTCAATTACTGCCTATACAATTAAAATCCTGCTTATCCTCTGTTCCTCTCCCTCAAGCACTAACTGTGTTTATTGATGGTTCTGGAAAATCAGGAAGGGGATCTATAACATGGCAGGAACAGGGAATCTGGAAACATTTTGTTACTATGCATCATGAGTCCACCCAAAGGGCTGAATTGGCTGCTGCTATTGTAGCTTTACAACATTTTCCACTCAGCCACTTAATTTAGTGGCTGACTCTGCCTACGTAGTTGGGGCCTTACAATTCAAGATGCATCTATCCATGAGGGAAATGATTTTCTTTTATTTGAGATGTTTCAACATTTACAAAAAGTACCCAAAAAAGGCATCGTCCTTTCCATGTAAGTCATATATGTTCTCATTCTGACCTCCCTGGCCCTTTATCAACTGGAAATGATATGGCTGATCACTTTGTTATATATAATAATGTTTTACAAAAGGCTATTTGTCTCATCTGTTTTTTCATCAAGGGGCACGAGCTTTGGCTAACATGCATCAGATTTCTTATGAACAAGCTGGAGACATTGTTTGTGCCTGCCCCAGCTGTCAGAGGTTTTCTAAATCTAATTTCCCTGGAGGAGTTAATCCTCAAGGTGTAAAAAGTAATGAAATTTGGCAGATGGACATCACTCGTTATGCCTCTTTTGGATGCCTTAAATATTTACATGTTATTACGGATACATATTCTGGTCTTATTCATGCCACTGCCCAAACAGGAGAAACTATTAAACATGTTAAAAAGCATTGTCTTTCTGCCTTTGCTGCCACAGAACAGCACTTTATCCCTCCTAAGAAGAGACCTAAAGGAGGGGGGAAGAAGATATAACAACTATACTTTTATGAAGTTGTTACAACAAGCAAACGGAAAGGACATTCTGGGGGGGGAGGGGAGAAAGGGAGGAGGGAGGGAGGTGTCAGTGATGGGCCATAATAATCATATACATTGTATATTGACAAAATAAAAATTTAACGAAAAAAAAATTCTATTTAAAAAAAATAAAAAATAATGCTGGAACTATTGGATAAGTGCATGGAAAGATGAACCTAACTTAATCCACATAAACTAATTTGAGATGAGCCATACATCAAAATGTAAAAGATAAAACAATAAACCTTCTAAAAAAGCAAAATAAAAGAAGAGACCTAAACCCTTAGTTTTATACCACCACCTACCGACAGGACCACAATGGTTGGGACCTGTGGAATTGCTAACACAGGGGAGAGGGTATGCTTATGTTCTTTCCCCTACAGGTCCTTTGTGGGTACCTGCAAAAGCTGTAAAACCATGCCATGTGACACTGAGCAAAACACTGACATCCAATGGAACTGAACCCCATTCCCGAGTTTCAACAGCTGGTGATAACACTGCAATTCACAAGGCCCCCACTACCAAAACTTCTTTGTTTCTTTCCTCATCATCTATAAATCTTTCTTGATATTCAACGTCACTCTCTTTGCCTTCACAGTACTCGGTCTCATGGCCCTCAAATTCAATATCTTCAGGCCGGAGGCAGTGCAGGGGGCTCTGGTGGCTGGGAAGGCGGGGAGTCCGGTTGATGGGAAGGCCCTGGCTATGAAACCTCCTTTGTTTTTTTTTTTTCTCTTTGCTTTCCTCCTCGTCTGTAAATGTTTCTTGATGTTCAAACTCATTGTCTTTGCATTCATGGTAATCGGTGTCATTGCCCTCAAATTCAATATGTTCAGGCCAGAGGCAGTGCAGAAGGCTGGAAGATGGCAGGACCAGCGGTTGAGAACCTCCCAGAATGGGTGACTGGATTGGGAATTATGAAGGGAAAACGGCCAGACACAGAAGTTCTGGCCGCCACAGATGTGCAGACCCAGGAATGGCCTCCATCAGTTGGGTTTAACCAACTTAAACCTAAACTCAGAGATGGAACTCAGAAAGGGTGGATGGTGACATTTATTTTGTTGCCTTCCTGTTGGGGGCTCCTGGAGTCGCTCCTAAGGGGGAAGTGCTCTGCCTGCATTCCAAGCATCAGAATCCTTCTGCTTCCCAACCAGATCCCAGCAGCTGTCAGAGGCTGCCTGAATCATGTCCTTATTTTGAAATGGCAGCTGAGACTACCAGCTCTTCTCCCATTTCAGTAGCAAAGTTTTGGGAGGTTTGGCCTCCATGTGGCATCAAGTGAGGTTGCTTTTACTGTGTCACAGGGACTGTACTGGCAAGAGTCAGCTTCTCCAGCAGCTCAGGGAGTTTCGGAAGGGAATGGCTCACCCCAAGCCTCCTGCCAGCAAGGGTCCTGGTGGCCAGGAGGCTCAGGTCCCTGAAGATGTGGTCGGATCAGGAGCTGGGAGGAAGCAGCATGTCCAGCTGTGGGCTGAGGGGCAGAGCACCCAGGCCAGACTCCCAGGAAGGAAGTCCCAGGGTCCTGCACCATCTTGGGCTGGAGACAGCCAGGGAAGTCCTGGTACCTCTTCTGGGCCGACTATAGATGCCTCAGGTAACAGGATCTGAGAAGCAGGTTTTGGGGCGGTTTGACTGTGCATCAGCACTGGGCCCTGGTGTCCTCTCACACTCCACGTGTTTCCATCAGCAGGTACCTTTGTGAGTCAGGGCCCTCAGACTGTGGACTTCACCCAGTCCTCTGTAGAATATGGTCACAACACTTTCATGCACTTAGAGAAAAGATACAAACCAATCTGTACCTAAAGTGTGACAGCAACTCTGGGAACCCAGGTGGCCAAGTCCTCTGGAAGAGTCTGGAAGGAAACAGCATGAGGACTGTGGTGTGGGTCTCACAGCAGGACCACGAGGCTTTGGCATATTTTTCCATTTCTGCATTTTTTTCCTTAATGAGCATCTATATACAAGGTCTTATTTTATTATATTATTATTATTATTTTTTTTTTTTAAAGATGGCTGGTAAGGTGATCTTAACTCTTGACCTGGTGTTGTCAGCACCACGCTCACCCAGTGAACTAACCAACCATCCCTATATGGGATCCGAACCCATGGCCTTTGTGTTATCAGCACCACACTCTCCCAAGTGAGCCATGGGCTGGCGCCTATTTTATTTTTTATTTCTTTTTGGCAGCTGACCTCTGGGATCTGAAACACAAGGTCTCTTTTAAAATTAAGTAAAACGTAGTTGGTTAGAGCAAGGTGTTGAGGTGTTGATAGCATCAAGGTCAAGGGCTGGCTAGCTGCCAAAAAAACAAAAAAAACTAAGTAAAACCATTTAAAGAATTGCAGTGTTGAAAAAGACTTCCCTCATTGCCTGGGCCCCTGGGTACCTATTTTGCATACCTAAATTAACATGTACCACACAGATGCACATACAGACCTAACAGAGATTTTGAAAAGGGGATAATGTTGAAATTAGCTTTCTCTTTTTTCTTTACCCAAGATACAAAGGCACTCGTAAGTTTCAGGATCCTTCCAAACTGAAGGTGGTGTTGACTTTACAAATCTAGACAGAATATTGGATATTCTAATACCTGGACACTCTCTCCTTGTGGAATGGAGCAGTGTCCCCCTGCCCATAACCAGCAAGAGCTGGTGGCCAGTGGGTTCCCCCTGCCAAGGCCCCGCCCCCGCAGGAGGTACCCTGGTCTCCCTCCATTCTGTCACTTTCCGTCCTGTCACTTGGAAGCTTTATTCTCTAACCCTGCTGTTTTTGTTTTGTTTTGGCAGCTGGCTGGTACAGCGATGGATCCCTGGACTATGGTGTTACCAGCACCACACTCTCACCCACTGAGTGACCGGCCAGCCCTGCCCCTGTTTTCAGAGTCCTTTTGTTTTTTGTTTTGGTTTTTTTTTTAAAGATGACTGGTAAGGGGATCTTAACCCTTGGCTTGGTGTTGTCAGCACCACGCTCAGCCAGAGAGCGAACCGGCCATCCCTATATAGGATCCGAACCCATGGCCTTGGTGTTATCAGCACTGCACTCTCCCGAATGAGCCACGGGCTGGCCCTTCAGAGTCCTTTCATAAGTGCTGCTCTCAGACGGGCCTCTCCCTACAGGCAGAAGCCTGATCCCTGACACCTTTGTTCTCTCGCCAACTCGTCTCCAGGCCCCTGCCTGCTCCATGGGAAGAGCATAGAAATTGTCACCTCAGGTCCCTCCATGCCATGGACGCAGGCAACATGGCAGGGCACTTGGCATCTGATCAAACATTCCAGCATTCAACAGGGGTCACTGCTGGCTACTGTACTACTGAGGGTGGGCAGGGGTCTCTCTACATCAAGCCCTGCACCCAGCCAGATGGGCCCTGCCTGGCTGAGGCCAGCAGCAACATCATGCAAATGCCAGCCACAGGCAGCCAAAATGGGGCCACCAACTTCTGCTCTCCAGACCCCACTTGATCTGGCCACCAAGGACCTCACCACCAACCCCGGCTCCCAACCACAAGGGGCATTCCCATTAGAAGCCAAGTGCCACACAGGCTTCCATAAAGGCCACAGAAGGCCTGGGGGAGGCTGCTCCTGCTGGGCAAGGCCGGGCTTCCTCAACTGGGGCCACCCCAGTCCCTGCATCCTGTGCGCACGCAGCCCAGGACAGCACAGCAGCTTCACACTTAGCTGTCAAGAGCAGAGGCTATTTCTTCTTTAACCCAATCATTTTCTCCAGTCTTTACCCTTTTAATGCCAGTAAGTTCATTTAGAATGTCTCACGGTGACAGAAAATAAACTCTTTGTTCCATGTTCAACTCTGCCTGTGAACTCTATCAGGGCAACCTGGGAGGCAGTGATGGTGTTCAGACCAGGGTCCCAAGGCTGGCTGCTCCCACTGCCTCCGTCCCCCACCCATGGAAGGAAAATCACAGAAGCCCTCTTCCTAGGACCGCACAAGACAGTGTCCCAGCTCACGCACACACCTGGGACCCAGGAGCCCCCGTCCACAGGAGCCGTGAGGGTGAAGAGCCACAACTGGTCGAGCCAGCAGAGGACATGGCAGAAAGGCTCCGGGGGAGAAGCCACATAGTGAGCCAGACTGCTCCCCAGCAGTCACCTCCAGCATTGGTCAGAGGAATGAGCCCAGGGCTGGGGACTGCCTGGGGGAGGAGTGTTGACAATGCTAGGCTCTTGCTCTCTCATGGGAGGGTGGCCTGGCCACAGCTGGCTGGGTACCCCATGCCCATGGGAGCTCCCAAAGCTTGTCTAGAGGCTAAGAACCATCCTGGTGTTGGGCGGCCCCATCCTGTGCAGGGTACACAGGACAGAGCACACGGGCCAGGAGAAGGGCGACATTTATTAAGGGAACCAAGAAAGAGCAGCTCACTACCTTGAAACCTGGGCTATGTTGAAAGGTGAAAATATTACAGCCACCGGGTGACGAATGGGGAAGCACAGGCTGGTATGAAGGCCAGGGCCAACTGCCCAGATGGAATGTTCCAGAACCCAATGGTTATGGCAGCTGTCCCATGACTTCCCTGATGACTAAACCCATCAAGGACTCTATTATACCACTCCTCTCAGCCATCCACCAGATGTGGGTGTGGACAGACCAAAGGATCATATGCCCCACAGGCCAGATAGAAGTTCGAAGGTAGAAACTTCTTACCTCAGAAAGACCAGGTGGGACAACCAAGGCAGTCCAAGTCATCGAAAATGACCACGGGACCCCACCCTGGGGAGAGGTGTCAGACCCAGTCAATCCCTGGGGGTGAGAGGTCAGGAAGATGGGCTCTCAGAGAAGCATTCCCACCCCAGGCGTCACCCATCCTGCAGAGCAGCGGAGGATCTATGAAGGTGACCCCAAACTCACCCCAACTTCCCCCAACTCTGCTGTTATACTGGGAAAGCCCCCACATTTGAAAGGCTACATTTGGAAAGTTTGGCGAGGATGGAGGGGAGGCTGGAGACCAGGCCCAGGGCAGGCAGGTACATAACACCGTGCACAGCAGGGGCCGTCACGGCCTCCTCCGTGGCCGGCTGAAGACAGTCCCCCAAAGTCATGTCCACTTGGAACCTTAGAATGTGATCTTATTTGAAAATAGAATCTTTGCATACATAATTAGTTAAGATGACATCAAAGTGGATTTGAGAGGCCCTAGATCCAACGACTGGTGTCCTCATGAAAAGGGGAGAGGACACACAGAAACAGGCACTCAAGTAACAGACATGTGGGGGAGAGGGTCACGTGACGATGGACACAAAGACGGGAGTGGCAAGGCTACAAGCCGAGGAGCACCAAGGAACACCAGCAGCCACCAGAAGCTGGATGAGCCAGGGGATGGAGTGTCCACCGGCCCTTCAGAAGGAAGCAGCTCTGGGCCGGCCCGGTGGTGCACTGCTGCAGTGCGCCGCTTGGGAGCGCGGTGGCGCTCCCGCCGAGGGTTCGGATCCCACATACAGACCGGTTCCCGCTCACTGGCTGAGCGAGGTGTGGGCGCAGCACCGAGGGTTGCGATCCCGTTGCCGGTCCCGGTCCGGTACGGGCGCGACACTGAGGGTTGCGATCCGTTGCCGGACACGAAAAAAGACAAAAAGGAAAGGAAAAAAAAAAAAAAAAGAAGGAAGCAGCTCTGTTGACACATTGACTCTGGACTTCCGGCCTCCCGAACTGTGAGAGCACGCCTCCACTGTGGAAGCCCCTTGTGGCACTTGTTCCAGCCTCCTGGGGACATGTGCACAGCCCCCTGTACGCGCTCCTGTGGCTCTAGAGCTCAGTGCCCAGCTTCTGCCCTTGGCCTGGGCATCCAAAACGCTGCATGGCTGCGTCCTCATGCTGGGCCCGCAGGAAGCAGTTGGCCTGATGTTGCTTTCAGATCAGGGTTGTGGTTCTGGGACAGAGGCGACTCTGCAGCTTTGTGAATTTTGTGGCTGGGAACTTCTAAGAAGGTCTGAGAAAGGACGAGTTTGGGCGTGGAGGTCAGGCTTTGGCACCAGGGGCCCCCTGCAGCCTCTGGGGTGCTGCCAGCTGGTGCCTGGGGGGCACACTGTCCCCAGTGTGGGTCCACTGGTACTTGTGTAGGTCGATGCCGTGGCAGAAGCCCCTGCCACAGGCTGGGCAGGCATAGGGCTTCTCACCCGTGTGCGTCCTGCGGTGGGCACTGAAATGGGAGCTGTTGTTGAAGCTCTTGCCGCACTGGGCGCACAAGTAGGGCTGCACCCCGGTGTGCATCCTGTGGTGGATGACCAGGCTGGAGCTCTGGCTGAAGTGCTTGTCACACTCGGGGATGGGTAGGGCTTCTTGCCTGTGTGCACCTGCTGGTGCATGCTGACGTTGGAGTGGTCACTGAAGCCCTTCCCACACACCAGGCACTTTTATGGCCGCTCCCCGGTGTGCGTGCACTGGTGCTTGGTCAAGTGGGACATTTTGCTAAAGCCTTTGCCACATTCAGGGCACATGTATGGCTTGTTGACCCCATGGGGCCCTGCTCTGTCCAGTGGGGAGCAGCCATGTGGCTGCTCAGGCCTGGGGTGGCTGGACTCCCAACACTGCCCCAACAGCACCTTGCGCCACTCCGTTCTCCTTGGTGTGTCCTCCAAGGTGTCGCTGTCACCCTCCAGTTGGGTCCTATGCCCTGAGACAGAGAAAGCACAGTCCCTGAGGCACTCACGGGGAGAGGGGAAGGGAACCACTTATGAAAAGAGGGAGACACATGCTAGGTAGGACTCTCCAAATTCTCCTTCCAAACATCTAGCAGGGAAGTGTTAGAACCCTCACTGGAGATTCTAATACCACGTGCCAGACACTGTTCCAAATGAACAGAAACTTACTTCATCCTCCAACACCCATAAGAGCCAGTGCTATTACCAGGCCCATCTTGCAGGTGAGGAAACTGAGGCACAGGAAGGTTAAGGAACTTACCCAGAGTCAGAGGGCTGGTAAGTTACAGAGCCCAGGAGTCTGTGCCAGTGTGCCATAACTTCTAGGCCAGGGGTTGTCACCTGGAGGCAATGTTGGGAGACATTTTGTCATGATTGGAGAGAGGGATTTGCTGTGGATTGAACGTCCCCCCCAAACTCACTGAAGCTTAAATTGTGTCCCAAGTTCCAGGTATTGGAAACTTGGCCCCCACTGTGACAGTGTTGAAAGGGTGGGAAATCCTATTATGGTAATTGAAAGGTGGGGCCTTGAAGAGGTGATTAGAGTGTAGGACCATGCCACTGTGAATGGATTAATAATGGTGGCCAGGGGCGTGGTTCTGAGGGCTTTACAAGGAGAGCACATGAGAATCTCTGCTCTGCCACTTTCTGCCATGTGAGACCCCTGCATTGCTGTAAATCTACCACCAAAGGAGATCCTCACCAGATGTGTTCTCTGGACTTTGGATTTCCCAGCCTCTGAAACTGTAAGCAATTAATTTCATTTTATTTATAAAATATCCAGTTCCGTGTGTTTTGTTATAAGCAACAGAAACAGATTAATACAGGGTTTGTAACTGGCCTCTACCCTGTAGATGCTGGAAACCATTCCACATTGCACAGGACGCCCCATCACAGAAAGTGATGTAGGCCCCGATATCAACAGGGCTGAGGTGCAGAAACCCTGCTCTAGGCTGTTCTGATTGGAGCAGGACCAGGAGGCATGAGGTCCCAGCTATTGGGCCACCCCCTTGCACACTTTGGGGAAGCCCCTGCGGCCCCTTTACAGATCCAAGTTCAAGAGCCACTGCTGTTGTGCCACAAGCACAAGGCGAGAGGATCCTGCACTGATCCAGATTCTGCCTCTTCCAAGCTGTGTGACTTTGGGCAAATGACTCAACTTCTCTGTTTCCTCACCTGCAGCACGAGAGTAATCCCACCTAGGGACCTTGTGGCACAAAGCATGCTGGGGTGCCTGGATGATGGGGCCGGGGAGCAGACATCATGAAAGCAGCCCCCATGAGAAGCTTTATGCACACAGCTGTGGATGATATTGACATTAATGAGATAGAAATAAAACACATGTATTTCACAGGGCCAAAGCCTATAGCATAGAAGGACCAAAGTCCTTAGTTTAGCCTGTAGTGTAGAAGGACCAAAGTTCTTAGTTTAAGACAAAGCCTGTAGCTTAGAAGGACCAAAGTCTTGTAATTTAGGAGGCCAGAGCCTCTCTAGCTTAGGCGACCAAAGCCCAACCCTTTAGGAAAACACACAGAGATGCTAAGATTAGGAAAGACCAGAAAACTCTCACAGGACTAAAGCCTTTGATGTAGTAGATAAGAGAATTGAAACACAGTGAAAAGTGATTGCTCTGGGGACAGTTGCCCTTGTTGCAGCTAAACCTAAATGAAGGGAAAGTATGTGAGCTAAAATCTTCAAGGCTATTCTGCTAGTTAGTGCTTGGGGGACGTTCCACATCTCGCCCTAAGCTGTTCTTTGAGTTTCTTGGGGAACTAAGCACTATGGTGATTATCTCATTGTTTCTTTTTGTACATCACACAGCTTAGTTTTATGACTCCTGATGGTAAATTGCTTGAACTATTTTAAGTTACACCTGCTTTAGTGAAGATTGTCATGTAGCCAGTTTGTTTATGTTTTCACTAGAATTGATTAACCACCTGTGTTTCTTCTGTAAAAACTGAAGCAAAATCTGACTCAGGGCTGTGCCTGGGCTCTCCTCTCTTGAAAGAGTTCTCCCTTGGTGCAGTCCCTTCAGGCTTTTCACTGCTCTGAATACATAGGCTCTGAGTAATCTTTTGTGTTTCTGTCCCTATGCGAGAGGTGACACACAGCAGGCACTCGCTGATCCAACACGGGAGGGGCAGAACATTCCATTGCCCTTGGCAATGTCCACTTCAAGGCACCATCCACCGCCAGACTACTGGGGCAGGCCCCTCTGGCCCTCCCCTCCTCTCTCCAAACCTGCACCTCCAGAAAGCCAAACATGGGTCTGGTGCTTACTGAGTCTCAATTTTCACATTTATAAAACTGAGATGAGGCTGGAGGATGAGGCCAACCACCTCACTGGTCTGTTGTAAGAATTTTTTAAAAAGGAACTGAGTCTAGGAGCTCCTCAAAAACATGATGCAGCAATTCCACTCCTAGATATCTACCCAAGAGAATTGAAAACACATACTAAAACAAAAACTTGTACACAAATGTTCACTGCAGCATTATTCACAGAAGCCCAAAAGTGGAAACAACCCAAATGTCCATCAATAGACAAAGGGATAAACAAAATGTGCTCTATCCATGCAATGGAATATTACTCAGACATAAAAGGGAATAAAGCGCTGACACATGCTACAACATGCATGAACCTTAAAGGCATTATGCTGAGTGAAGAACACAGAAGGTCACATAATTATATGATTCCATTTCTATGAAATGTCCACAACAGGCAACTCCATATAGACAGAAAGCAGATGAGTGGTTGCCAGGGGCTGGAAGAAAGGTGACTAGGGCGTGGCTACCATCAGGTCCTGGTGTCCTTTCAGGGGGATGAAAAATGCTTTTGAACTAGACAGAGATGATGGTTGTACAGACTGTGAATGTACTAGATGCCACTGAACCGTTCACTGAAAAAGTCACTCATTCTATGTTATGTGAGTTTCACCTTATATGTAAAAAAAATTTTTTTTTTTTTTTGTCCTTTTTGAGACTGGCCACACTGCACTCAGCCAGTGAGTGCAATGGCGGCCATCCCTATATAGGATCTGAACCCGCGGCGGGAGCGCTACCGCGCTCCCAGCGCCGCACTCTCCCAAGTGCACCACAGGCTTGGCCCTATATAAAAATTTTTTTTTTTTTCCTTTTTGTCTTTTTTCGTGTCCAGCAACGGATCGCAACCCTCAGTGTCGCGCCCGTACCGGACCGGGACCGGCAATGGGATCGCAACCCTCGGTGTTGCTCCCACACCTCGCTCAGCCAGTGAGCGGGAACCGGTCTGCATGTGGGATCCGAACCCTCAGCAGGAGCGCCACCGCACTCCCAAGCGGCGCACTGTAGCAGTGCTCCATCGGGCCGGCCCCCTATATAAAAATTTTTTTTTTTTTCCTTTTTGTCTTTTTTCGTGTCCAGCAACGGATCGCAACCCTCAGTGTCGCGCCCGTACCGGACCGGGACCGGCAATGGGATCGCAACCCTCGGTGTTGCTCCCACACCTCGCTCAGCCAGTGAGCGGGAACCGGTCTGCATGTGGGATCCGAACCCTCAGCAGGAGCGCCACCGCACTCCCAAGCGGCGCACTGTAGCAGTGCTCCATCGGGCCGGCCCCCTATATAAAAATTTTTAAAAAGCTTTTGAGCCAGGAATCCTGATTTTTTTTTTAAAGCAAGTGCAAATAAATCTTTTATTGCCCCCTCCCCCACAAAAAAGGACTGGATGTAAACCAACAGGGACTGGCACCTTGTAAGCAAAATCCAACAACTCAACTATGACCCTGGGAGGGAGGTCATGTCTGGGCTCAGGGAAATGGCAGAGCTGGGCAGAATCGCATTCTTCCCTCCTTCCTCCTGAGAACTCCATGTGGACCTGAGGAAGCCAGGAGGGCTGGCCAATTCTTTCCCTGTCACCTCCTGCAGACCCTCTGTGCCAGGGCATGAACTCGGCTGTGTGTAAGATGCTCTCAGGAACCTCCAGATCAGGGTTCTCAGTCGTGGTACGAATGACATCCACAGGGCCAACACTGGGCTGGGTCTCCGTGATGGGGCACCCTGTGCACTGCAGGATGTTCAGCAGCATTCCTGGCCTCCACCCACTGTATGTCAGTGATGACTCCCCTGCCCCCAGTCATGACAACCGAAAATGTCTCCACTCATGGGCAAATGTCCTCTGGGGGCAAGATGGATCACAGTGGAGAACCACTGGTCTAGATGCCTGTCATCAGAGCTTGCAGATGACCAACCCAAACTTTATAGAACACCATCTAAAATCTAACTCTTCACGGACAGCAAAAGAAAACAGATAAACTGGACTACATCAAAATTAAAAACTTTTGTGCATCAAAGGACACTATCAATGAAAAGACAACCCACAGAACGGTAGGAAATATTTGCAAATCATAGGTCTGATAAGGGATTAGTATCCAGAACACATAAAGAACTCCTACAACTCAACAACAAAAGAACAACCAACCCAATTCAAAAATGGGCAAAGGACTTGAATAGACATTTCTCTAGAGAAGATATACAAACGGCCAATAAGCACATGAAAAGATGTTCAGCATCACTTGTCATTAGGGAAAGTCACAGTGAGTTACCCCTTCACACCCAGTAGGATGACTATTATCAAAAAACAAAAAATAATGTTTAGGTGATAGATATGCTAACTAGCCTGATTTAATCATTATACAATATACACATGTATTAAAACAATAAACTGTACCCCATAAACATGCACAATGAAAAAACAAAGAATTTTTTTTTTTATTAAACAAACTGTGTTGGTGAGGATGTGGAGAAATTGGAACCCGTGTGCATTGCTGGTAGATATTTAAAATGCACAGATGCTGTGGAAAACAGGACTGCAGTTCCTCAGAAAATTAACAATGAATGACCATATAATCCTGCAATCCTATTTCTGGATATATACCAAAAAGAAATAAAAGCAGGATGTCCAAGAGATATCTGCATACCCACATTCACAGCAGCACTACTCACAATAGTTAAAAGGTGGAAGCAACCCAAGTGTCCATCAACAGATGAGTGGATAAACAAAATGTGGTGTACGCATACAATCAAATATTATTCGCCTTAAAAAGGAAGGAAATTCAGACTCATGCTACATGGACGAGCCTGCAGGATGTTATGCTAAGTGAAATAATCCAGGCACAAAAGGACAAATATTTATGATTCCTCTTCTATGCGGTACCTAGAGGAGGCAAATTCATACAGACACAAAGACGAGGGTAGTCTACAGGGCCTGCGGGAGGAGGGATGGAGAGTTAGTGTTTAACGGGGACAGGGGACAGAGTTTCAGTTTTGGGAAGATGAAAAAGTTCTGGAGACAGATGGTGGTGATGGTTGCACAACAGTGTGAATGTACTTTATGACACTGAATTGTATACTTACAAATGGCAAATTGTATGTATTTTATGACCATAAAAACTTTTTAAAAGAAGGACTGGCCTGTTAGCTCAGTTGGTTACAGCACAGTATTATAACACCGAGGTCAAGGGTTTGGATCCCTGTACTAGCCAACTGCCAAAACATAAACAAAACTAAACAAAATTTTTAAAAAATGATGCTACTGGGGGCCAGCCCCGTGGCGCACTTGGGAGAGTGCAGCGCTTGGGAGCGCAGCGGTGCTTCCGCCGCGGGTTCGGATCCTATATAGGGATGGCTGGTGCGCTCACTGGCTGAGCGCAGTGCGGCCGGTCTCAAAAAGGACAAAAAAAAAAAAAAATGATGCTACTAAATAATTTTAAGGGCCGGCCTGTAGCTCACTTGGGAGAGTGTGGTGCTGATAACACCAAGGCCACAGGTTTGGATCCCTATATAGGCATGGCCAGTTAACTCACTTGGGAGAGCGTGGTGTTGACAACACCAAGTCAAGGGTTAAGATCACCGTACTGGTCATGTTTTAATAAATAATAATAATGAATAAAAAATAAAAAGTTTTAATAGTAAAAAAAAAAAAAAGACAACTCTTAATAAGAAACAAAACCAGCTTGCTCCCTGAATGGGACCTGACATTCCCTCCATCTGACAGAGCCGGGGTGTGGGTGGGGAAGAAGAGGGCAGCTCCTGCCACCGTGTAAAGCATTTAACTTCTTCCTGCTGGCCCTGGAGGAGCTCACACAGTGCCCTGCACTCAGGAGGTGCATACTCAGTGCTGCCAATGCAGGGCTTCAGCATCTCTCCTGGGAGCTGTTCTGATGGGCTGTGCCCAGCCCAGGCTGCCCGCGCACCCTAACCCTTCTGGCTTCACCTTGCCTGCATGCCGTTACCTCGTCCCAGCCTGCTGTTGTGACGAGGGATTCCTTCCTGAGCCCCAGACCTTTCCTAGGGTCATCTCTCTCCCCTGCCTTTCCTTTGGGCCAGGGACTGGGCAAACCACAAGCCACGCTCCATTTTTAAAATGAAGTTTTAACGCAACATAGCCACGCCCATTTGTTTCCCTACTGTTCATGGATGCTTCTGCACTAGAACGTGGACCTGAGTACAGTCGTCCCTCAGTATCTGTGGAGGATGGTTCCAGGATCCCATGGACACTAAAATCCATGGATGTTCAAGTCCCTTGTATAAAACTATGTATTTGCAAATAATCTACACACATCCTCCTGTATACTTTATTTATTTATTTTAAAAAGATGACCAGTAAAGGGATCTTAACCCTTGGCTTGGTGTTGTCAACACCACGCTCAGCCAGTAAGCTAACCGGTCATCCCTATACAGGATCTGAACCTATTGCCTTGGTGTTATCAGCACCACACTCTCCTGAGTGAGCCATGGGTCAGCCCTCTCCTGTATACTTTAAATCGTCTTTAGATTACTTATAATACCTAATACAAGTATAAATGCTACGTAAATAGTTGTTATACTATACATTTTATGTTTTTTTTTTTGTCCTTTTTGAGACCGGCCGCACCGCGCTAAGCCAGTGAGCGCCCCGGCCGTCCCTATATAGGATCTGAACCCACGGCGGGAGCGCTACCCGCGCTCCCAGCGCCACACTCTCCCGAGTGCGCCACGGGCTCGGCCCTTTTTTATGTATTTTTTTAAACTGCTGTATTGTTATGTTTTTCTTTCCCCAAATATTTTCAACCCTCTGATACAGAGGGATGGCAGTAGTTGCAACAGAGATCATATGGCCCATGAAACCTGAGACATCTACTATCTGGTCATTTACAGAAAAAGTCTGCAGACCTTTGCTCTAAGCCCTTGAACTTGAACTTCAAACACAATTGCCAAGGTCTCAACTCCCAGAAGAGGGGAGAATCTTAACTGGGATTTGTCTCCTTCTTGCGGATCTCCTCACCTGAGTGGGCCCTGCAGGCACTACCCTTGGCTGGGTCCCCTGAGACTTCCCCTGCCCCAGCTGGGCAGTCACTTGCGGGGCCTGGGAGTGGGGAGTTCTGCTCATGGGGCAAGAACAGGGAGGACCTGAGCATGGGGCTGGGTCAGAACTCGTGGAGTTGGGTCAGAACTCGTGGGACCGTAACACCCCTTCCCTAACAGAGCAAAGCGGGTCAGAAGAATCCACGGAAAATGTGGAAGCTCAGAAAGAAGTGTGAGGAGCTTTCTGCTAGTGTGCATCCTCGGTTTCTCCCCAGGGAGAGGAAGTGAGAAAATGGCCCAAAGCCCTCACTGGCTTTGGGAGAGACGCCGTGGAAAGGTCTGGAGTTTCCACAAGACAATAGAGATGAAGTGGTAAGGGCCGAACCCGTGGCTCACTTGGGAGAGTGCAGCACTGGGAGCGCAACGGCGCTGGGAGCACTGAGGCCGCAGGTTCAGATCCTATATAGGGATGGCCAGTGCACTCACTGGCTGAGCGCGGTGAGGGCAACACCAAGCCAAGGGTTACGATCCCCTTACTGGTCACAAAAAAAATTTTTTTTAATTAAAAAATTTTTTTTAAAAAAGAGATGAAGTGGTAACCGAGAGTCACAATGAATGCATGGGGAGACAGACACAAAGAGCAGAGGACAGCAGTCCAGCGACCATGTCTGCAGCAGAAATGTGTTCATTTTCATCCATGCAACAGACAGGAAAAAACAAGAACATAAAGGAAAGTGGTGTGGCTGCTTTGTATAAGTCAATTTGGCCAGGCTGCGGTGCCCGCTGTTTGGTCAAACACCAATCTCAATGCTGCTTAGAAGGTATTTTGTAGAGATGACTGACACCTACAATCAGCTGATTGTAGGTAAAGCAGATCATCCTCCATTGTGTGTGGGGGGCCTCATCCAATCAGTTCAAGGCCTTAAAAGTGAAAATTGAGGTTTCCCAGAGAACGACTTCTGCCTCAATACTGTAATACAGAAATCCTAAGTTTCTAGCCAGCCAGACTCATCAGTTTCTACAATCATGTGAGCCAATTCCTGAAAATAAATCTGTATCTCCTACTGGTTCTGTTTATCTGAAGAACCCTCGCTGATAAGTAAATCAAGAAGCTGCTTTTTATTTTTTGGCAGTGGGCAGTATTGGGACCAGAATCCTTGACCTTGGTGTTGTAACTCCACGCTCTAACCAACTGGGCCCACTGGCCAGCCCCAGATTCCTTTAGCAAAGGTTTTGGTGGTGGCAGAGTGGCAGGAAGAGATGGAGGGGAAGAGAAAATACTGAAGGGCTGGTGTTGGGGTGGTGAGCTTGGGTGGGTGGTCAGGAGAGGCCTCTAGACAGCACAGGGGGACAGCCAGGCCTTGCTGGAAGCAGCTCTGTGCATGGGGGCCAAGGGCAGAACTGAAGCTGAAGCCAAGCTGGGCGAACGGGGATCGCCCCAAGTGACTGAACCAACCCCGGGGCGTGGGGCCGGGAGGTCCTATTTTTATAATGCTTGTCCCAAAGGACAAGGTCCCCTGCTCGTTACCTTCATTCTCTGGCAGCACGTCCCAACCGCGGTCCTGCTGAGCTGGGTCCTGGCATCCCCACTCTTCCCTGGACAGGTACACAGCCACGTCCTCCAAGGTCACTGGCACCTGCTGGAATGCATGCCACTCAGTGCCGGCTCCGAACGAGCCACCCTCATCACCCTGACTAGGGCCACTGGCCCAGGATACTGCCCCCTCACTACTCCGTTGGGCAGGGCTTTGTCTGGTGGGTCACCCCACCCCTCTCTACTCTTGTCACGATGGCAGGTCCCCTTCCTGTGTCCCCTCGCTTGGCCACTCTGAATGCTGCCATCCACCCCTGTTCCTGAGCCTTGGCAGACATGGCTGGATCTTGCTCTTTGGGACAACGCTGTTGCTATTGTGCTCTGTTCCTTGGCTGCAGGGCTGGAAGACCACGGTGGAAGCGACAGATGGGCTGTGTGGAGCAGCTGCGATCACTGTGTGCTTGGTCACTGGGGCCCACACTCCGCAGAGAGAAGATTTAGCGCCCCTGCCTCTGCTCCAGCCAGCTCAGGGACCCAAACAGGGCAATGTGGGGAGGTCAGGATGCCTCTAGGCCAGTGGCTTCCAAATCTAGCACCAGCCTGACCTGGGGAGTAGTTAAAAACAAGCCAACAAAGTCTAGAAAGGGCACATCCATAGAGACCGGAAGTAGATTAGTGGTTGCCTAGAACTGGGGGGACAGGGGAGGAATGGGGAGGGACTGCTAATGGGTCCAGGGTGTTCTGGGGGGATGCTAAAAATGTCCTAAAATTGATTGGGGTGATGGTTGTACAACTCTGTAAATCAACAAAAAACTGTATGCTTTAAATGGATGAATTGTATGGTATGTGAATTACCAGGGTACTTAAAGGAGTTCATCGAAATCAATAAATTAAAATTTAAGAAAAGCTCACAGAGGGCCGGCCCGTGGCTCACTCAGGAGAGTGCGGTGCTGATAACACCAAGACCACGGGTTCGGATCCTATATAGAGATGGCTGGTTAGCTCACTGGCTGAGCGTGGTGCTGACAACACCAAGCCACGGGTTAAGATCCCCTTACAGGTCATCTTTTTTTTTAAAAAAAAGCTCACAGAACGATTCATATTATCTTCCCATTCTATTTTTCCATGAACTTTCTGAAGTATCCTCATATATCCCAATAGAGCTGTTATTTAGAAAACAAACAAGCAAGCAAAGGAGATTCCCATTCCAGACCAGGGGGTGTGGGAGGAACCTGTATTTTACCCAGACCTGAAGAGATTCCAGCACGCTGCCTCACTGTCGGACCCCAGAATCTTCCGGGTCTGCCTAATACTCAGGTGGCATCTGGAGAGAAGGCAGGACTTCCCAGGAGGCCAGGACAGAGCAGGGAAACTCCAGAGGGGAGCTCCTCTAACATCCAAAGCCCTGGCCACGGGGGGAGTGGTGTCCCCTTAACAAGAGAGTGACACACAGGGCCAGACAGGAGGATGCTACAGACCAGGAATGCCTGCTTACCTAGGGCCAAGCTGAAAAGAAGGAAGAAGATGCTACCATCTTCTGACCCTGGGAGGCTGGTGGGCCTGAGAAGGAGCAGACAGTCACAGGGGGAGCCCACACTGCTCACCCCAGCACCCCTGACCCCCCAGGCACACATGGACGGCAGCAAAGGCCCGGATGGTCCCAGCTGCTCCCCACTCCAGTTCAGCTCGTCAGAGCCTGTGCACCCACATTCCAGCAGGCCCCCTCCTGCGACACTTCTCTTTCCTGCAGCAGGACTGCTACTCACCCTCTTTGGCCAGAGCAGGGGGCCACTTTTTAGTCTGTGGTGAGCCTGGGCTGGGGGTAGCTGACTGGAGCATCGAGCCCCTTCCTCTAGGGAGAGTTTCTCTGGCTGAGCTTCCGCCTGGTGTTCCAAGGACTGTCTCCCTGTCCCAAGGGACACCACGTCGTCAGAGAGCACCTCTGAGCCCTGGACACAGAGATCTGCCCATCAGCTCCCAGAAGGCACAAGGAAAACCCCAACAGGGTCCCCAACCCCTTTGTCTGCAGATTCGTTCCCTCTGCCTGACTGTGTGCACAGTCGTCCCTCCAGCCAGCTCCTGGGAGACATCAGGCTTCCCTCCTGGACAAGAGGAGGCCTGCTCTACTCCACGTTTCTCCCTGTCATACTACATCAGTGTGACTTGTCACATTTTACCCTCTGTTCCTTGATGCTCCCAACAGACCCTGGGCCAGAAGTGCCCTGAATCAGCCGTGGTTTCATTTCAGTTTGCTAGATTTTTCAAATCATCTACAGATGTTCTGGGATGATCTATTTCCTGATTCCAGGAAAGATGACTTAGATGAAATTGGGTCTCAGAACTGAGCTCTGGGGGTTCTAACCAGGGCACCCCCAGCCTCTGGTCTTTTTTCCCAGTGTCCTTCCTTCTTTTGGGGTCTCTTCAACTCCCAAAGCCCTGCCTTGGAAAGTGTCTGGCCTATGCTGGGACAGTGTTCATGAGCCAATCCACACTTGAGACAAGAGACATCCCCAGGGAACTGCAACTAGTCCTGGGGACCCCGTCTCAGGCTCCCTCTTGTCCAACATTCCACACTTCTAAGAGGAGACAGTCCCTGGCCAGAGAGGCATGGCCCCCTCTGCTCAGTGATGGCATGCACAGTGAAAGAGGAAAGCCATGCCAGGAACCCCAACACTGAGGCCAGAAGGGCTGGGAAAGAAGCCTGAGTCCTTGGCCACCAAGATGCAGGATTTTCTTCCTGCAGTGAACTCCCATTGTGGCCAAGTTTGGGGGGTTGTCCATTCTGCTGAATGCAAAAGAGCAGCAGTGAGTGGCCAATGGCATTGCCACAGGGAGAAAAATGACCTGCCAGCATTGGCCAAGTGCCTTGTCTGGGCATGGCACTGAAAAAAAGAGTAGGAACAACAGATGGAAGGACTTTTTTAATCTCAAGGAGTTTAGTGACTAATACTAGAGCAGGAGAAATTTGTAAGAAACTTCCCACTCTTCTCCAAATGTAGCTGGAAGGAGCTGGAGTGTGTTGTCCATAGAATATCTACTCTAGACAGCGATGTTGTCTATAGAATGTCCCCTGATGATGGGTGTGTCCTGTATCTGTGATGTCCAGGACAGCTGCCACTAGCCACATATGAAGAACTAGCCCTTCAAAGGTGGCCAGTGCAACTGAGGAACTATGTTTAAAAATTGATTTAGTTATAATTTTAAAAATTACATGTGGCTGGTAGCTACTGTTTTGGATGGCACAGCTCTAGAAAAATTGGGGAACCTCTGGGGATTCTAACCACGGTGCCCCCTGCCCCTGGTCTTTCTTCCCAGTGTCCTTCCCTCTTTTGGGGAGTCTTATACTCCCAAAGCCTGGACTTGGAAGGTGTCTGGCCTATGCTCGGACAGTGCTAATGAGACAATCCACACTAGTTTATAAAGGGATAGTGGTGCTGTATGTAGTTAAAGGCTGGACAACCACTGGCCAAGGTTGAAAAACATTTTGCATCTGCCTTCTTCAATTCACCGTATCTAGGTAGCCCCTGGTCCTCCCAATAACCAAGGGTTCTCCAGCTGCAGACCTCAGCAACGGGGGCCCCTTTTCCTCACCTCAGGGTCAAAATGCCCCCCACCTCACCCACTGCCTCTGTTTCCTGGGGTCCCGCTGCAGCCCTTCCACGAGGACCACGGCCTCCTCACCACTCTCCGGGTGCTGCTCGTGCACCCAGCCCTGGATCTCCCCCAGCAGCACTGTCAGGAACTGCTCCAGCACCAGCAGTTCCAAGATCTGCTCCTTGGTGCGCAGCTCCGGCTGCAGCCAGCGGCAGCAGAGCTCCCAGAGGCAGCTCAGGGCCTCCTGGGGTCCAGCGACCTCCTAGCAGCAGAAGAGCCAGAAGAGCTGGTGGAAGGTCTCGGGGCTGGGGTATTCCATCTCCAGGAAGGGCTCCTCTTCCCAGCAGAAGTCCTCCTCGACCTTCACGATCAGGTATTCGTCCTGCTCCCGATCTTGCTCCAGCGGTGGTGGAGATTGCAGGCCAGGGGCAGTTGCCATTGTTCCCAATCGGCCTTGCTCCTGCTCAGGACTTGGGGTCAAATCTGTCTGGCCAGACACTGGAAAGGGTGTTTTTCAGGAATCTGGAGAGAAGATAAAATCATCTGTAGTGCAGTACTGGAGCCAGATAAGTCATCTGCACCCCTGGTTCCAGGGCCAACTTACTTTCATTTGCAACAGGAAAAGGGTTGAAACAGATAAACCCTGTCTTTACTAATAACCCCTGCTGATTCCCAGACATGTTACTTAACGTCTCTAGGCTTGTTTCCTCTTTGGGGGGGGGGGGAATGATAATATGACCTACACACAGGCTGAGAAAGACCTGAAAGGGATGTTTGGAAAGGGTTTATCTAGCACACTGCCTGGTACGTGGTCAGAGCTTGAGAAATGTGAGTTTTCCACTATTACAGTCGGCCCCTTTGGAAATGTAGTGAAAACCGGGGCCCCTTCGTCCCAGGAAGACAGATTGTGTCGCAACTGATTCCCGATGTCCGGGCTCGGTGAGCCCTGAAGCCCCTCCACGGGCCCCATCGAGTATCCCAGAGTGGATGGTCAATACAGCCCCTCCAATTCCAGGGTCCTGGGAGGCTTGGGACTCCCCTCAGGTGGGGAGTGAGCGGTGGCCGAGGACGAAGCACAGACCCAGGATCCGGCGCGGGCCGCGGGATGGGAAGCTTGAACCGGGACCCACGCCCCCGCGCCCCCATTCACCGGCAGCGCTGCTCGGGCGTGGCCGGAGCAGGAGGCCGGACGGGCGCGGGACCGCTGCGGCGGGGGACTCGGCGTGCCGGCCAGCTCGGGACACCGGTCGGTGGGGCGAAGAACTCCCAACTCAAGCGCAGAAACGAGGCCGGTGAGCGTAATAACTTCGTATAGCATACATTATACGAAGTTATACGAGTCATCCCTATACAGGATCTGAACCTATTGCCTAGAAACGAGGCCGGTGAGTGGGCTCGCGGGAGGCATTGTGGGTAGCGCAGTCCTCGCGCCATTGGCTGGAGGCCGTGGGAACGACGCCATGTGGGCGGGCCCACAGGAGGCATTGTGGGTAACGTAGTCCTTCCTGCCCCACCGCCCCTTCTGTGAGCATGCGCGAGAGCTCGGAGGCGCCCCAGCCTCTGGACCACATTCCCCACCTCCTTTCCACACCAGTCCTCCCCTGGCCTGAGAAAGTCCGGTGGAGAGGATCTTGGAAATTTACTTTTTAAAAAAATTTACAGGGCCGGCCCGTGGCTCACTCGGGAGAGTGCGGTGCTGATAACACCAAGGCCCCGGGTTCTGTCATGGAAGTTTTCCGTTAGGGAAACACACACACACGTACCAGGTGGCACGTGGGATCACCTTTTATAAATGCTAAAGAAGAGATGCAGAAGCCTGTAAGTACCTGGGAAATACTCCAGCCCAGAAATAAAAACTTAGGGGCCGGCCTGTGGCTCACTCGGTAGAGTGCGGTGCTGATAACACCAAGGCCATGGGTTCGGATCCCATATAGGGATGGCCGGTTCGCTCACTGGGTGAGCGTGGTGCTGACAACACCAAGTCAAGGGTTAAGATCCCCTTACCGGTCATCTTTTTAAAAAAATAAAAAATAAATAAATACATAAAAAATAAAAATAAAAATAAAAAAATTTACATAGTACTTTGGACGTGCCAGACACTGTTCTAAGCGCTTTGCAGTTATTAACTCGGTTCGTCTTTGAAACAACTCTAAGTGGCAGGTACTGTTGTTCCTATTTTATAAAAACCGGAACACAAAGAGGTTCAGCCACCTGCCCAAGGTCACATGCACCAGTAAGTGGTAGAGCTGGAGTGAAGCTGGAACCCGGGTGGCTGTTCTAGTCCAACCCCTTAATTTTAGAGACTAGAAATGAAAAACCCAGGAAGTTACTCGTTTGGGCCATTTTGGTTATCAATTGCTTGTTTTTTATTTGTTAATTTAATCAACACATTTTTATTGGGCTCCACTTTGTGCTAAGCAGTCATGCTTTTGCTATAGGCGCCTCAGCCATGAACCTAGCATGGGTGAGGAAAAGATAATACTTTTCTCCTGTGGGCTCACACATGTTAGCAAGTGTTACCGTGAGCATTATGGGCCCAGCTGGGAGCACAGTGCTCCAGTGCCTAGCACGTCACATTATGTGATCACTGGCATAATGACTGGGCGATTCCTGAGTCCTTCAGCTCGGGACTCCAAGGCCTAACACCTTACCACACCCTCCCACTGGCTGGAAGCAACCAGTCTCCCGCCAGGGACATATCTTTCTCTGCTTTCTGCTCTGTTCTTTTCTTCCACACCTCCTCACCACTCTCTTTCACATTGCATTTTCCCCCTTTCATTCAATTTACAGGCTTTATCATGAGCACACCAGGCGGGACAAGACATTGGGCTGCCCGCGACTGATTTCTGGAGACTGCCCCTCCTGGGGTGAGAGGCTTTTTTGTTTTTGCTGGCTGGTACAGGGATCAGACCTTGGACCTTGGTGTTATCAACATCACGCTCTAATCAACTGAGTTAACTGCCCAGCCCCTGAGATGCATTTTGAAGGGTAGACTCCAGATTTAGGGACTGCACCAGGACCCCACAACCTTGTGGTGGGACCTGCAGAAAAGCAGTACCTTAGATGCCTCAGTTTCTCCTTACTACATGGGGGCCACTGGTCAGGAAATCTGCAATCTGAGAGTGAATTACCTCTGGTTGTGGTGTGCTGCTAGTGTGTTACGTCCGCTATGAGAAACCTGAGTTCCTTCCACTTCAGGAGGAGGGCATGGAGAAGGATCACTTGAACAAGTCATAGGTGGGTATCTAGCAGGGAAGGAAAAAGGGAGAATAGAGAAAAGTGGGCATGGAAAAGGAGGAAAACAGAAGAGATCGATGGAAAATCTGAGGGAGCAGCAGGGTCTATAGGACTGGGCATAGACACCCCGAACTCTGTCTTGAGGGACAGACAGGTGTGGGGACACCAGTGTTTTCAAAGCTGCCCTACACCTTCCCATTTCTAACTGCCCCTGGTTAGCTGTGGGGACCCAGCCTTTCCTCTTCTGTCATCTTCTCCTAGGAACACTGTGTACAGGAGTTAGTGAGTCTATATGGTGACCAAGGCCTGGCTAATTTAGTCCTGACCCCTTCCCATCTAGGCAGTTTTCAGCGACTACAGCCAACAGAAGTTTAAAGGATGAATTTCTACCTTGCCCAGGATTTCTCATCTTCATTGTTCCTTCAACTACAAACAAAAGGAACACAGAATTACGTGGAGGTCAGAAGTCTGACATAGGTCTTGTTGGGCTACAATTGAGGTGTTGGCAGGGCTACATTTCTTTCTGGAGGCTCAAGAAATAAGCTATTGCATTGCCTTTTCCAACTTCCAGAGGCTGCCTGCATTCCTTGGCTCATGGTGCCTTCCTCCTTCTTCCAAGCCAGCAATGTTACATCTCTCTGATGGTCACACCTTGCTCTGACTCTCTGCTTCCCTCTTCTACTTTTAAGGACCCTTGTGATTACATGGGACCCACCTCGATAATCCAGGCTAATTACCCATTTCTGAGTCAGCTGATTAGCAACCTCAATTCCATCTGCAACCTTCATACCCTTTTGCCATCTACCAGTATTAGGGTTTTTTCCTTCTGATACCAAAAGTGTGGGGGTTTTCCTTACACCAACCAATTTTCTGACACCACCTGGGTATCCAACAATTCAATTCAGTTCTGACACTAACCATCTGGAGTTAGTGCAGACTCCACAGGTAAAGGTCTCAGTCTCACAAGACTGCCTCCAGTTCAGATATCAGTGGTAACTATTAGGTCCCCAGTTTACTAACACTTTTGTCCAACTTAGGTACAAATGTAGGGGTTCCCCCCCACCAGGTTTGACAATTTGCTGGAATGGCTCACAGAACTCAGGAAAATATTTTACCAATACTGATTTGTTATAAAGTATATAACTCAAGAGCAGCCAAATGTGAGAAGGGTCACAGAACTGCCGTGCCCTCTCTGGGTGTCCCACCTCCCACCTCGACATATTCACCAGCGCTGAAGGTCACCAACCCTGTCGTGGGGGGGGTGGTTATGGAGGTTTCGTTACATAGGCATGATTGACTAAATCATTGGCCATTCGTATTTAAATCAATCTCCAGTCTCCCTCCCCTTCCCAGAGGTAGGGTGCTGGGGCTGAAAGTCCCAACTCTAATCATGGCTTGGTCTTTCAGGCGACCAGTCCCCATCCTGAAGCTATCTAGCCCTACAGTCCCACCCACCAGCCACTGGTCCTCCCATTAGCATCCTGTATATTAGTCCATTTCTTTTGTTTATAACAAAATATCTGGAACTGGGTGATTTATAGGAAAACAAAATTTATTGCTTACAGTTTTGGAGGCTGGGACATCCATAGTCGAGAGAACACATCTGGGAGGGTCTTGGTGGTGGCCATCGTGATGGCAGGGTATCACACTGTGAAATGGCGGAGCAGAGAGAGAAATAGCTCCTCCTGTACTAGTCTTCTAAAGCCCTCAGAACCACGCCTCTGACCATTTTTACTACATTCACTACGGCACTCATTACTGCTACTAAACTGCCACTAAAGGCGGAATGAAAGTGAAACCGCACTGGTTCTAACCTGCCAGTACCGTGACCCAAACCTCCTGCTGTGTGGCAGAGGCAGAATAACAGAATTCCCTTACCCTGGAAACCCCATCTCCTGTCTGACATAGTGATGGAATCCCCTGCTCCCCAAGTGAGGGTAATCTTAACCCAAATCTCCTATTTCAAGGCAGAGATGGAAAACCTTGTTCTGAGAGGGTTGGAGAAACAGCCCAAATAAAATCTAGACCTCAACCAAAAGAAAGGGAGCTCTGAATTCAGAGTACTCACACTTTTGCACCCAGTGAAGCCTCTGGAGTCAGAACAATTCAATGGGTTTCTGCTGGTACCAAGTGCCAAGTCCAAGAGGGAACTCTGGGTGGTTGTGTGTGGGGGGGTAGAGGGGGTGCTTTAAATCCTGCCAACTACACCAGAAATGTCAACGTAAA